TATCTCCTCCAGTAACACCATTAACAATACTAACTACCCCCTCCAGTTACACCATTAACAATACTAACTACCTCCTCCAGTAACACCCTTAATAATACTAACTACCTCCTCCAATAACACCCTTAACAATACTAACTACCTCCTCCAATAACACCCTTAACAATACTGGCTATCTCCTCTAGTAACACCCTTAATATTACTAACTACCTCCACTAACACCCTAAACAATACTAACTATCTCCTCCAGGAACACCCTTAACAATACTAACTACCTCCTCCATTAACACTATTAACAATACTAACTACCTCCTCCAGTAAAACCCTTAACACTACTAACTACCTCCTCCAGTAACACCCCTAATAATACTAACAACCTCCTCCAGTAACACCCTTAACAATACTAACTACCTCCTCCAGTAACACCCTTAACAATACTGGCTATCTCCTCTAGTAACACCCTTAATATTACTAACTACCTCCTCCAGTAACACCCTTAATAATACTAACTACCCCCTCCAGTAACATCCTTAACAATACTAACTACATCCTCCAGTAACACCCTTAACATTACTAACTACCTCCTCCAGTAACACCCTTAATAATACTAACAACCTCCTCCAGTAACACAGTTAACAATACTAACTATCTCCTCCAGTAACAACCTTAACAAAACTAACTATCTCCTCCAGTAACACCCTTAACAAAACTTACTACCTCCTCCAGTAACACCCTTAATAATACTAACTACCTCCTCCAGTAACACCCTTAACAAAACTAACAATCTCCTCCAGTAACACCCTTAACAAAACTAACTACCTCCTCCAGTAACACCCTTAATAATACTAACAACCTCCTCCAGTAACACCCTTAATAATACTAACAACCTCCTCCAGTAACACCCTTAATAATACTAACAACCTCCTCCAGTAACACCCTTAATAATACTAACAACCTCCTCCAGTAACACCCTTAACAAAACAAACTACCTCCTCCAGTAACACCCTTAACAAAACTAACTATCTCCTCCAGTAACACCCTTAACAAAACTAACTACCTCCTCCAGTAACACCCTTAACAAAACTAACTACCCCCTCCAGTAACATCCTTAATAATACTAATTCGAAGACAGCGCAACAAACACACAAATTTACTTACGTGAATATAAAGATCTTAAATTGTCATAATCCTTTGGTGTATAAACCGACATCAAATGACCGCCATCATGTCGACATTGTGATTCGGCATTTTCAAATGTGACCAGAGTAGAGTGGTACTTTAAACAATATCCTTGGTCTGAAAATACTGTATATCCCTTGACGAAACAATTAAAGAGATCTGAAATAATAATGAATATGTGATGTTTATATGGACGTTAGTTATTAATGATGAATTCAATAAAAGATCAAGATTAGAATATAGTTTTTGATACCACAAACTCTTCTGGATATAGCAGTTTATAATGATAAAATCAAGGTGTGTCGATTTGATGAAAATGATTTTCAAATATACTTTAGTAGATATGTGGAACACAGTTGACAATCAAATACAAATAACAATGAAATACAAATATTAGCCTTGTTGACTATAAGTAAGATATGCCTGGTTGACAAACCAAAGAGATTATTATAATATTTAAAACCTACCTTGATAAAGCACCATAGATTCTGAATTGGTTTTCACCCATCCAGAAACTCGACTAGCTTCCACATAACTTGGTGCTAAACAATAACAATCTTCTTCTTGATAATAAATCTGATCCCAGTTGTAGAGAGATGAACAAGTTGCTATACAGCGGATTAAACTAAAATTTGATATCAAACTATGATAATTTAATATGACAGGTCCAGAGTAGGTAAATTTTCTCCAGTTGTTGATCTTAGTCATTCTCGGTGGTTGTGCTAATCTTAAACTCGATCCAATTGATAGTAAAAAAGTCAAAATGAAGAACAATACAAACATTTTTGATAAAAGTACTCAGGAATATATATTACGTAAAACATTTACCAAAACATATACTAACAGGACAATCAGAATCCGTTTTAAAACTGTTTACCACAATATTAAGAGATGATATTTACTGGAGGAGATGTGTTGTATATTAGTCAATACCGGAGATCCACAAAGCATGATACAATAAATTAACGTTTATTGATATATCAATACAATCTTACACAAGCGTTAAAAAAAGTTAAAGGACCAAATTACGCCTTTAAAGATGGGTTTTGTATTATTTTTTTACAAGTCAAATCTAGCAAACTATTTGATTACTTCGTGTTCTATAAAGTTATCCATGTATTCTATATCTAAAATCCCAAGTAGACGTATAAAGACTGGAGAAATACGATATACTCAGCTCTGTTTGGAAAAGGTAAATATAGACTATCTGATCACGTGACTAAATGACTATATATATTCTGTCCTGTTGCTGGAGATAAAAAGATAATATTTAATACCCTTTCGGGAATACCAAAATATCCAATCATAAATGACCATGTACGTACAAGCACTCATAAAAATATTAACCCTCCTTATTGTGAAATATACATAAGAAGTAACAAAAAATAAGGAGACCCATCTTGAAGAAAAAATAAATAACAGAATCTTAAGATCGACATCATTGTTATTTTGCCCGGAGTAGACCTCGTGTGATATTAAACTGAATTCTATAGATAATATATGGATAGGAAAACTAAAAAGATCTTTATTTTTTTTTAACTCCAAAAATGTTCTATTGGACGCAGGCTGTCTTCCTAATCGTTAGCAAATCGTTAAATAATTGAAAGTGAAACATAACATAACAACATTAAAACCTCCATCAATAAAAATTTTGATAAAAAAACACTTAAAGGTTTGCTAGACAAAATAACATACGCACACACCAGAAATACTGTTAATAGGCAAACCGTGTCGAATCGCTTAAGTTGAATAGCATCCCAAGGTATAAACCTGAAGAGCGGACCTTTTGACTTTTACGACAATGATGCTATCACCTAGTCTCGATTATGCGAATCCTGGGTTATCTATGTTTTTTACTTTCGCCTATCTCTCTTATTACACATGTTATTGCCCTTGACATTTTAAACAATGAAATAAATGGACCTTCTGCTTCTTTGATCTGTAGAGAATTTAAATCCACATCTAAGCTGTGATTAGTCGCATGTGGCACACAGAAATCTTATGTTGGTTTTAAAAACTCAAAAAGTACACTATGCTTTTACTGGAATGGATTACACATGTTATTGCCCTTGACATTTTAAAGAAAAGCATTTAAAACCTCAAGCTATCAAGAAACCTGAAAAATGCCCCTTTTCCCAAATCGAACATGTCGATAGTACAAAATGAGCAGACGATCGATTTAGAATCAGGAAGCCGGTGGGATGTATATATATATATATATATATATTTTTTTAGCATCTCGTATTTATGGTTGTTCGTATACATCATTTATGTTTTTTTTTATTTTGAATTAAAAAACTGAAGTATGAATATAACCGAGTGAAAATAGTTTTTAATCAAATGTTATTGTATTACCCGGGTGAAAATACAAGTTTTTAATCAAATATCATTGTATTACCCGAGTGAAAATACAAGTTTTTAATCAAATGTCATTGTATTACACGGGTGAAAATACAAGTTTTTAATCAAATGTCATTGTATTACACGGGTGAAAATACAAGTTTTTAATCAAATATCATTGTATTACCCGGGTGAAAATACAAGTTTTTAATCAAATATCATTGTATTACCCGGGTGAAAATACAAGTTTTTAATCAATTATCATTGTATTACCCGAGTGAAAATACAAGTTTTTAATCAAATGTCATTGTATTACCCGGGTGAAAATACAAGTCTTTTATTTCGATATCCTGTTCATGTTGATACGATTTGGTATGACACAGAAAGCTACCAGAATCTTTACTTGGCTGGCGGAAAGAAGTGGATCAACACAAATTACAATTGCCTTTGTTTTGTTTTTTGGTCAAATGATGTGGATAAAAACTTAGCAATTTATTTCTTTTGATTTTGAAACCCTTTTTTTGTCTTATTCGTTTTATTTTCTATTTCTATTTAATAGTGTCTATCTAACAGCCGAGACCCTCGCGGCGACAGAAATAGATTTTAAAGATCTGATAACATACTTTCCACTCGCATGTTTTAAAATTAATCAATTGGGAATTATCATTAAAGGAAATACCGAACGAATCACTATATGATATAAAGCCCGATAAACCGGCACCTCTCTAAACCGCAATTCGACATCTAAATCAATAATTCTATAGTTAATCTATAGTTGATTAGTCTTTTTTATTTAAATGCAAAACGAAACCCGAAAACATCATACTGGCAAAACATTGGTAGCAGCTAATGAACTTATAACGCGAGGAAGTATATCAATAAAGTATTTCATAATGAAAAGTGAAACGAAGATACAGATTACAATAGATTCAGACATCCAGTCTCACATTATTATCAAGTGATAGTAGAAAGACTTATGCACTGACGTCTATGTTATTCATAGACCACAAAGTATTATAAGATTTAAAACCTTCCTTACAGACTATAAGATTTCGTTTTGTGGGAAACATAAGACTATCGTAAAATTTAGATTTTATAAGGGAAAGACCACCAGTAGTGCTTCGAACAAACTTAGGAAGACAATTAGTAATTATTGGTTGTAAAGTATCAGATCTCTTTCCTATTCGATTCAATTAAGAAGCAAATGGGACTGATTGCAACACGAAATTCAATACTTATTGGCTGTAACTTATCAAAGCTCTTGCACGCCCTATTTAGTTAATGGTCATTATGTCGGCAAAATTAAATTCGATCAAACTTCAGTGTCGATACGTCCCACTCTCCACAAGGGTTTGTCTCCCCCGCCAGTCCTACTTCCTGAGAAATGCTACTGGTTTGTTGGTGAGATTTTCAAGAAAGACGACTGAAAAATAACCAAACAAATAACACAATGTTTATTACCAAGCAATTCAACTCAGTTGGTGAATAGCTTTAAGCTTTAGTTTGTCTTGACAAGTTGATATAATTCATTGTTAAATTTATTGTTGGAATACAAATAAAAAATGAAATGTTTATATGTCAACGTTCATACAATACAATACAATACAAT